TTATGGTTTCTTTGTTGTTGTTGTCATCTCATTTTAGGTGAGCTGACCCCTTTCAGTATTTCCTGTAGTGCAAGCCTCGTCATAGAGAATTCCCTCAAATTTTGTATGTCTGGAAAGGTCTTTATTTCTCCTTCATATCTAAAGGAGAAATTATTCTTGCCTGGATACATTGTTCTGGTCTGGTAGTTCCTTTCATTTAATATTTTGAATATTTGATTTCACTTCTTTCTGACTGGTAAGATTTGTGCTGAGAAGTCTGACGATAATCTAACAGGTTTCCTTTATAGGTTATGGTCTTCCTTTCCCTGGCTTCCCTGAGAATTCTTTCTTTGTCATTGATTTTTGATAATTTTGATAATGCCCATTATTCTTATGTTTCCTCTCCTGATGCCATCAGCTAGTTCTTGACGTTCTCTTTCATTATTTTTCATTCTTCGGTTTCTCTCTTCCTTCTGATTTATTTCTAGATTTCTGTCTTCAATATCACTGACCCTTTCCTTCATTTGGTCAACTCTATTTCCCATGCTTGCTGTTTCATTTTTCAACTCTTGCAGTGTGTTCTTCATCTCTAGAAATTCTATTTAGTTCCTTTTGTGGGAGTCAATCTCCTTGCTGTCCTCATCTAGTTGTTTTTTCATTCCTGGAATTGTTGATTTGAGTTGTTTTGGATATTATTGAGGTTTTTCAGAAGTACCATCCTGAATTCTCTGTCATTTAAGTCGCATATTTCTGTGTCTGTATGCTTGTGTTCTGGAGATTTTTTTCTTTCTTTCTGAGATGCTTGTCACCTTGATTGTTCATGGTGTTTAATGAACTATTTCTCCACCTGGGAATTAATGGAAGTGTATTCTGTGTTTGTCCAGAAAGGAGATTTATTATATAAAGGTCTCTCTTTAGCACGTTGCAAAGAAGGCACTTTTCTTTTGGTTTCCAGTAGGTGACGTCTAAGCCTCTTGGATCCCTTCTCTATATAAAGCCTTAATAATGCCTTTTTAAATTTTCTTGTCGATATTTAATCACACTTGCTATTCTCATATTCAGTTCCTGTCAGTGTTAGTAGCAGTTTCAGTAGTGTTTGCTCAGATTCCCCTGTGGTTCTGTGGTGATCGGTCTTGGAGCGTATGGGGGGAGGGGCCTTCTGGGCTGGGAGTTGGGGGCTGTGGCTCAGCTTCAGTTTTGCAGCTGAGGTCAGCATAAATCAGCTGTTGTTCCTCTGCAGTTTCGTCCCACTTCACTGCTTTCTGCCCTGATGAGTGGGCCCTGGTGCTAGCTGCTAGAAGTTCTGGCACTTCCAGGCAGTCTGATCAGGCAAGTCACTGCACCTTCATCCCTCTCTCTCCTCCTGGGAGGAGCTCCCGTGGCTGTGAGAGGCAGCTTCTTTATTTCTCCCAGTCCACAGCCTTCTTCTTGCTCCTTCTTCTCTCTCCCCTCTGATATCTTTTACCCCTGATGAGTGGGCCCTGGTGCTAGCTGCTAGAAGTTCTGGCACTTCCAGGCAGTCTGATCAGGCAAGTCACTGCACCTTCATCCCTCTCTCTCCTCCTGGGAGGAGCTCCCGTGGCTGTGAGAGGCAGCTTCTTTATTTCTCCCAGTCCACAGCCTTATTCTTGCTCCTTCTTCTCTCTCACCTCTGATATCTCTTATGCGCAGATCCCACGCTCAGGTGTGCTGTTGTGCAGTTTGGGTGTTTTTTGTTGAGTTTTAGATGTTCAGCTTATTGTTGTTTCAGGGGGAGATCTGAGGACATCTCTCACTCCACCATGTTTCTGTTTTACAGATTTTTAAAAACCTTTTTTTACACTGAATAAATGTTTTCCTAATACAGAAGTCTATTCGTAGGGAAGTAGTAAGGAATCCATTTATTGCTTCATTTCCCCCATTATTATGCTTTCTTGAAATCTTCGTAAATTAAAGACAAACTGGATGGATTGACTTAGCACCTTCCACTTTGCCTAGAACATAAGTACCATTTAATTAATTATTTATTTTTATTTTGTTGAATAAATGAATATAAATTAAAGAATAATAAAAGCAAACACCAACATTACTGTACACAAATTTGTAGATTGAATACCTTTTCTTTTTTATGCCTTATCCCATCCATCAAGAATCCTATTGAATCTATCTTTCAAATTATATATCCAGAATCCACCCTCTTCCTGTGTCTTCATTCATTGATACCACTCTTTTCCAAATAAGCTATATGAGATGGGTTTTAGTGGAGGAATCCCAGCAGAAGCTAGTCTGGGTGGTCTAGTTACATCACATCACCGTAAATTCTTGAATAATCTCCCTGTTTCCACACTTTGCCTATCCCCTCAGTCAATTCTCAGCACAAAAAACAGATAGATTCTCTTAAGATCTGGTCAGATCATGTCGCTTCTCTGCTCAGAACCCGCAATAGAATGACCACCTATTGCTTACAAAGTGAAAACCAAAGTCATTTCAGTATCCTACAGTCGTTATACAGTTTGGTCCTCTACCTGCCTGACCTAATTTCCTATTATTCTGTACCTTGCTCATCTGTTCCAACCACATTTATCTTTGCTATTCTTCAGTTATACCAGACATATTCTCTTTTCACAAACTTTAAACTTTGTATTTCTTCTGATCCAGGTGCTTGCTCTTTTCCAGTATACTCACATGTTTTTCTCTCTCATTTCCTTCATGTCTTTACTCAAAATCACTCCATTAGTCCTCAACTAACTCCTATTTTTAAATTGCTCTCTTAACCTTACTACTCTTTTACATTATCTGTTTTGTTTTTATCCACAATGATTATCAATATATGATGTTCCATATATTTATATCTATTTCATTTATTTTCTGTTTCTCCAATGCAATATAGTCTTCATGAAAGCAAGGCTTTTGGTCTGTTTTATTCACTGATATATCTCAAAGGCCTAGAATAATGCCTGGCACATAGTTAGTATGTAATAAAAATTTTTAAAAATATTGAATTGGACACCTTGTTACTTCATTTATATCGTATAGGACCATCAGTTTTCTTTTCTTGCTCCTTCTTTTCTCTTCTTACTTCTTACATAAAGCAGTGTGTTAATAAGAAATCTTACATTGATTTCTGCAAAAGTTATAGCACTGTTGAGTCTTAGAAATTATATAAACTTCCTTTTTTTCTGTGATGATGTTTGTTAGATCTCTAGCTTAATTGTACTGTGACCAGAGACCAAATTTTGTATGATTTCAGTTGTTTAAAATTTTTTTCTTATACTTCATGGCAAGAATATGATTTTGTTTTTGTAAATGTTCCCTGTTCTTGAAAAAGAAAGCATATGCTACAATTTTAAAGTGTAGTGTTCTAAGTAGAACCTTACACTAGGTTGTTAACATGCTGTACAAATCATCTATAGATTCTGAATGTTTGATTTATCAGTTACTGACAGAGTGTATGTTTAAAATCTTTTACTATAACTATACACTTCTCTATTTTTTTATTCTTTCGATTTCAGCTTTATATATTTTGAAGCTATGTTATTAAGTGAATACAAATTTGGGATATTTATATCTTCTTCATGAGTTGAAACTCTTATTATGAAGTCTACCTATTGCTTGTCATGCTAGTTAATATAGTTAATATAGTAAAAGTGGCAAATGTAGGGAGCCTTTTTTTCTGAATGTCACTTTATTTATACTGATATGAACTGTGTAGCCTATGAAAACTATTCAGAAAGTTCTATCAAGTAAGAAATCATTAGAAAGTTTTGTCAATTCTTAAGTAACCACCTTACTTTTTTCTTTTCTAGACTCAATGCTACCACCAAGGATATATTGAAGGATATCCGAATTCCATTGTCACACTCAGCACGTGCTCTGGACTGAGGTTATGTATTTTCTGCTATTGATATGTGAACATCATAGTTGTGATACTTGCTGCTGAATTTGTTATGTTGACATTAAGTGTGGAGCTGGAAGAAAATTCTCGTGTAGAGATTATTCAGTTATATTCTCTGTTGAACATGTTTCTTTTACCTCTCCTCACTTTCCTCACTGACCAGAGAATTTCTAACTTCCTTGACCATTTACATTTACTGGTGTCCTTGCTCTCTCTCTATTTTTTAAATTAAATTTATTGGAATGACATCGTTTAATAAAATTACATAGGTTTCAAGTGTATGATTTGATAGCACATCATCTGTACATTGCATCATGTGTTCACCACCTGAAGTCAAATCTATATCACCATACATTTGATCCTCTTTACCCTCATCTGCCTTCCCCCTCTCCCATTTCCCTAAACTGTTGTCTACAAAACTGTTGTCAGTATCTATGAATTTTTTTTTTTGTCTTATTGGTTTGTTGCTTTCAGTTTTATATTTTACATATGAGTGAAATCATACAGTTCTTAACTTTTTCTGTCTGATTTATTTTGCTTGCTTTTTTACTTAACTACAGCAATGACAATTGAATGTGCTTGACTACAGGAAGTTTGAGGAGCTAAGTTTAGGGTAGCTTTTTTTTTTTCCCCAGTAAATAGAGTATTTTTGGTACCTACTATATACCAGCTACTAGCCTAGTGTTTGGAGATATAAAGTGAAATAAAGATAAACAAGACATGCTTTTTCTCAAGAAAAATCATCTTCAGAGACAGGAAGCAAATTTTATATATAAACAAATAATTACTAACATAGTACTCATTTTTCTAATAATATCAATATCTGAAACTCTCTAAAAATTGTAGGGTTTCCTCCTTAGTACTTAGAGAGTTCTCCATTCTGTGTCAGGAAATTTGTCACTCTCATTTTGTAGTGTAGGATCCTTGTTTCACAAACAAATGTTCCTCAGTGCTTTTACATGAAACCCTGAAATTTGTTTTTTAGGGAGTAGTTACTTGAACTGTTACCTGTATTCAGGGAAGAATAGTTACAAACGTTTTTACTTTTTAAAGTCTTGCTTTACATTTCTTATTCAGACTATGTTCATAATCAAAATTAATAAGTGCCTTTTCATAATTACTGCTAAATTATATTTTTATCAATAAAATTGCTTAATATATAGCCTATTATAATATAAGCATTGTAATCATTTTTCTAAATCAGTTCAAACCATGGAGAAATTCATCAAGATTTCTATAGTGCTTTTGCTAAGTCACTGACCTGGAGGACAGGAGAATTTCTTGATCACTATAAATGCTGTATACTTGTACAGCTAGTGTGGATTACATAACTTCTGCTGCATTTATAACTATAAAAAAATGAAATGGGAAGTTAGTTTTGTGGATTGGGAGAGATCTTTTGTTTATTCAGAATCACCCCCCAAACATAAAGAATTTGAGTCAAAAAACTGAGCTCAAAACATTCTATATTTTCTCCTCTTTTTTTGATTATGACCGAGTTATATAATGTAGAATTGATTAAAAGCACTTAAATTTTTATCCTTAATTTTACAGAGGAATACTGCAATTTGAAAATGTTTCTTATGGAATTGAGCCTCTGGAAGCTGCAGTTGATTTTCAGCATATTCTTTATGAATTAAGGAATGAAAACAATGAATTTGCTGTTCTTACTGAAAATAACCATGACACAGAAAAAAACCCAATGGACTATGACATTTTTATAAATGAAAAAGTTAGTTGCATATGATTTTTACTACTTTCTTAGCAGTTACTGCTTTAATTAATTGATTTATTTTTACTGTTATGTTTTTAACTTTATTTTATATTAGTTTCAGGTATATAGTACAGTGGTGATATATTTACATAATTTATGAAGTGATCTCTCTGATTACTCTAGTAACCATCTGTCTCTGCACATAGCCCTTATACTAATATTGACTATATTCCCTATGCTGAACTTTACATTCCCATGACTGTTTTACAACTACTAATTTGTACTTCTTCATCCTTTCACCTTTTTCACCCAGTTCCCAAACCCCACTACCTCTGGCAGTCACCACTTTGTTCTCTATATCTGTGAGACTTTTTTCGTTTAGTTTCTTTTGTTCTTTAGATTCCACATGTAAGTGAAATCCTATGGTATTTACCTTTCTCTGTCTGAATTATTCCAATCAGCATAGTACCCTCTAGGTCCATTCATGTTATTGCAAATGGTAAGATTTCATTTTTTATGGCTGAGTAATATTCTATTGTATATATGTACCTTAACTTCTTCATCCAGTCATCTATTGGTGGGCACTTAGTTTGCTTCCATATCTTGGCTATTGTGAATAGCACTTCAGTGAACATCTAAAGGTGCATAGATCTTTACAAATTAGTGTTTCGTTTTCCTTTGGCTAAATAACCAGAAGTGTAATTGCTGGGTCAAAAGATAGTTCTATTTTTAACTTTTTGAGGAACCTCCAAACTCTTTTCCGTAGTGGCCGTACCAACTTGTAGTCCCACCAACAATGTACGAGGTTTCTATTTTCCCTGCATCCTCGCTAACACTTGTTTTTTGATTTATTGTTGATAGCCATTCTGATAGATGTGAGGTGATATCTCATTATGGTTTTAATTTGCATTTCTCTGATGATTACTGATTTTGAGATATTTTCATATGTGTATTGGCCATCTATATTTCCTCTTTGGAGAAATACTTATTCAGGTCCACTTTTGGACATTCACCCCTCGTCAGATGTATTACTGGCAAATACCTTGTCTTTTCATTGTGTTGATGGTTTCCTTTTGCTGTGCAAAACTTTTTAGTTTGATGTAGTCCTATTTGTTTATTTTTTCTTTTGTTTCTCTTGTCTGAGGAGATATACTGGAAAAAAATTACTAATAACCATATTGGAGAGTTTACTGCCTGTGTTTTCTTCTACAAGTGTTAAGGTTTCAGGTCTTACATTTAAGTCTTTAATCCACTTTGAGTTTATTCTTCTATATGGTGTAAGAAGGTGGTCCAGTTTCATTTTTTTTATGTGTCTGTTCAGTTTTACCACACCATTTGTTGAAGAGATCATCTTTACCCTATTGTATATTCTTGCCTCTTTTGTCATATATTAAATGACCATATAGGCATGGATTTATTTATGGGCTCTCTGTTTTGTTCCATTGATCTACATGTCTGTTTTTATGCCAGTATCATGCTGTTTTGATCACTATGGTCTTGTAGTGTAGCTTGATATCAGTTGATGATACCACCAACTTTGTTCTTCTTTCTCAAGATTGCTGTGGCTATTCAGGATCTTTTATGGTTCCATATAAATATTTGAATTATTTGTTCTAGTTCTCTGAAAAATGCTATTGGTATTTTGATCAGGATTGCATTGAATCTATAGATTGCTTTGGGTAGTATGGCCATTTTAACGCTATTGACTCTTCCTATTATGAGCATGGTATATGATCCCATTTATTTGTTTCTTCTTCAATTTCTTTTTTCAATGACATCATTTTCTTAGAATAGGTCTTTTACCTCCTTGGTTAATTTGATTTCCTGGTATTTTGTTTTTGATGTAAATAGGATTGTTTTCTTAATTTCTCTTTCTGATAATTTTTCATTGGTGTACAATAATGCAACTGACTTCTGAATATTAATTTTGTAACTGAAAGTGGACATCCTTGTCTTGTTCTTAATTTTAAGGAAAACACTTTTAACTTTTCCTCAATGAATATGAAGTTAGCTGTAGGTTTGTCACATATGGCTTTTATTATGTTGAGGTATGTTCCCTCTATTCCCACTTTGCTGAGAGTTTTTACCATAAATGGATGCTGGATTTCATCAAATGGTTTTCTGCACTTATTGATATGATTATATGATTTTTACCTTTCAATTTGTTAATGTGGAGTATCACACTAATTGTTTTGTGGATATTAAAACTATCTTGCACCCCAGGAATAAATCCAACTTGATCATGGCGTATGATATTTTAAATGTATTGTTGAATTCAGTTTGCTAACTTTTTGTTGATTTTCGCATCAGTGTTCATCAGGGATATTGGCCGATAGTTTTCTTTTTTTTTTTTTTTATAATGCCTTTGTCTGGTTTTGGAATCAGCGTAATGGTGGATTTGTAAAGAGAGTTAGGGAACTTTCCATTCTCTTGAATTTTTTGGAATAGTTTAGTAAACTAGATGTTCTTTGAATGTTTGAATGTTTAATAAAATTCCCCTATGAAGTCATCTGTTCTAGGACTTGTTTTTTGAGAGTTTTGATTACTGATTCAATTTTGTTGGTGGTAATTGGTTGGTTCATATTTTCTGTTTTCTTCTTGACTCACTCTTGGGTGATTGCATGTTTCTAGGAATATATCCGTTTCTTCCAGATTGTTGAATTTGTTGGCATATATTGCTTGTAATTTCCTGTAATCTTTTGTATTTCTGTAGAGTCTGTAGTTACTTTTCTTCTTTCATTTCTGATTTGCTTTGTTTGGGTCCTCTTTTTTTTTTCTTGATGAGTCTGATTTAAGGTCTATCAATTTTGTTTATCCTTTCATAGAACCAGCTCTTGGATTCATTGATCTTTTCTGTTGTTTTTCTGGACTCAATTTATTTTGTTTCTGCTCTGATCTTTATTATTTTCTTCCTTCTACTCACTTTGAGTTTTATTTGCTGTTCTTCTACTTCTTTTAAGTGTAAGTTTAGATCGTTTATTTGAAAACTTCCTTGTTTCTTGAGGTAGGTCTGTATTGCTATGAATTTCTCTCTTAGGACTGCTTTTTCTTTGTCCCATAGATTTTGAGTTGTTATGTTTTCATTTTCATTTTTCTCTAGGTATCTTTTGATTTATTCCTTGATCTCATTGTAAACCTATTCACTGTTTAGTAGCATGTTATTTAACCTCCATGTATTTGTGTATTTTCCAGTTTTTTCTTGTAGTTGGTTTCTAGTTTCATACCATTGTGGTAGGAGAAGATGTTTTATATGATTTAAATCTTCTTAAATTTATTGAGATTTATTTTGTAGCCTAACGTGGTCTATCCTGGAAAATGTTCCACGTGCACTTGAGAAGAATGTATTTTTTGCTGCTTTGGGGTGAACCATTTTGAAAATATTCATTAAATTCATTTGGTATCTTCATTCATAAGGCTGTTGTTTCCTTGTTGATTTTTGTCCAGAAGATCTGTCCATCATCATTTAAGTGTTAAAGACTCCTATTGTGAATGTATTACTGCAAATCATCTCTCCCTTTATGTTGGTCAATAGTTGCTTTTATATGTAGGTGCTCCTATGTTGGTACATACATATTTACTAGGGTTATGTCCTCTTGTATTGATCCCTTTATCATTATGTAATGCCTTTCTTTGTCTCTTATTATAGGCTTTGTTTTAAAGTTTATATTGTCTGATATAGGTATTACTACTCCAGCCTTTTTTTCATTTTTGTTTCCATGAAATATCTTTTTTCATCCCTTTACTTTCAGTTTAGATGTGTCATTGGATCTGAAATGGGTCTCTTGTACACAGCATATGTATGGGTCTTGTTTTCTTATCCATTCAGCTACCCTGTATCTTTTGATTCTAGCATTTAATCCATTTACATTTAAAGTGATTGATAGATACACAGTTATTGCCATTTTATTATTCATATTTATGATTTTTCCCACTTCTTTCTACAGTTCCCTTAAAATTTCTTGTAATACTGGCTTGCTAGTGATGAATTTCTTTAGCTATTTTCTGTCAGAGAAGCCCTTTATGACACCTTCCATTTTACATTAGCCTGGTGTGGTAGAGTCGTCTTAGTTGTAGGCTCTTGTTTTTCACTTTGAATATTTCCTGCCAGACTCTTCTTGCCCAGAATGTGTCTGTTGAAAAAATCAGCTGACGTTCTTAGGGGAGTACCCTTGTAAGTAACTAGCTGCTTTTCTCTTGCTTCTTTTAAGATTCTCTCTATGTCTTTAATGATTGGAATTTTAATTATGATGTGTCTTGGTATGGGTTTGTTTGGGTTCCTGCATTTTCTGGACTTGTATGTCTAATTTCTTTGCCAGGTTAGGGAAGTTTTCTGTCATTATTTTTTCAAATAAGTTCTCAATCCCTTGCTTTCTCTCTTCTTCTGGCACCCCTATGATATGGATGATGATATGCATGATGTTGGCCCTGAGGTCTCTTAAAAATTCCTTTTTTTTTTTTTGTGATTTGTTATTTTTGCTGCTTTGATTGGGTGTTTTCTGCTACTTTGTCTTCCAACTCACTGATTCAGTCCTCTGCTTCATCTAATATACTATTGATTCCTTCTAGTATATTCTTCATTTCACTTGTTCTTTATTTCCAACTGGTTCTTTTTTATGGTTTCTATGTCCTTTTTTATGCTTACTATCTCTCTGTTGAAGTCCTCACTGAGATCATCTATTCTCCTAAGTTCATCGAGTATCCTCATAACCAGTGTTTTGAACTCTGTCTCTATAGGTTGCTTGCCTCTATTTTCTTTAGTTGTTTTTTTTTTCCTCTGGAGTTTTCCCTGTTGTTTCATTTGCAGCATGTTTCTTTGTTTTCTCATTTTAGTTGTCTCTTTGTGTGTGTTTCTATATATTAGGAAGATCTGTTTCATCTCCCAGCCTTAGCTAGGTGGTTTTATGTAGTAGGTGTCCTGTGTGGCTCAGTGGTGCAGTCTCCCTGATCACCTGAGTCAGGGGCTCTGGGCATATTTCTTATGTGGGTTGTGTGTGTTCTCTTGTTGTACCTAAGCTTTA